CATCGGCAACGAGAGGTTCCGCTGCCCCGAGTCCATCTTCCAGCCCTCCTTCCTGGGCATGGAGTCCTGCGGCATCCACGAGACCACCTTCAACTCCATCATGAAGTGTGACGTGGACATCCGCAAGGACCTGTATGCCAACACGGTGCTGTCTGGGGGCACCACCATGTACCCTGGTATTGCTGACCGGATGCAGAAGGAGATCACGGCGCTGGCTCCCAGCACAATGAAGATCAAGATCATCGCCCCTCCGGAGCGCAAGTATTCTGTGTGGATCGGTGGCTCCATCCTGGCCTCCCTCTCCACTTTCCAGCAGATGTGGATCAGCAAGCAGGAGTATGATGAGTCTGGCCCCTCCATCGTCCATCGCAAGTGCTTCTAGAGGTGCTGCTGGCAGCCACCCTGGGCTGTCCCCCTGGGACAACCTCCACTCCCATGCTGGACCACAACTGTCCCACTGTTCCCTATCCCATGTTTTAATTAACTTGTTCAGGTACCAATTAGTGATGTGTATTTTAATGGCCCTTTAGGCTGTAGTGCTCCCGTGGCTTCTTTTCCTTGGTCACTTTCCCTGTGTAACACAGATAGGATGACACTAAGGTTAGACCTTGTCACCTTTAGGTTTGTCACCTTTAGGTTTGTCACCTTTAGGTTTGTCACCTTTAGGTTTGTCACTGTTGGCTCCTTTGTAAGAAAACCAATAAACTTCTGAGGTTTAAACACTAGAAGAGCTGATTTTGCTTTCTTTCAGGGTGGGCTTTACCCCCTCTCTACAAAGAATTATTGTGCTGTAGATTTTTGGACCCAAACCTGACCTTAAGTTAAATCTTATGCCTATTTTGTTCTCTAAATTCCTGATGAATCCCATCCTAGTGCTGCTCGGACCATTTTAAGAGCTGTTAGGGAGGAAAGCGTGTCTGGAATGTGGTGCTCTCAGCCTGGCTGGACTTTCATGGTAACTTGGCTTTTTTTAGAACACAAACAGCTCTTCTGTCAGAAAAACCTTGGCGCCTTGGCACAGGATTTGGTGACCGGAGCAGTGGCCTCTCCTTTTTAGGGAGAGGGTGAGGAGATGGTGCAGCAGATAGCGCTGAACCGTGCTCAGCTCGGGGAAAGCTCTGCGTTCGGGGAAGGGGGGGAATCTCCTGGAGCGGCATGTCTGCAAAGAAGGGACGGCAAACAATTAACCCGGTGTCACTAACAGCTCAGAGCGGCGAGGGGCAGTGCCCAGGCACTGCCGCAGTCCGGCTTTT